GTACACGAGCATTACCTCTGTCGGGCCTGAAAGCGTGCAAGCGGGTCGGTCGAGTTAAAGACGAAGCATCCGCTACTACAAATGACGAGTGCGTTAAGCCCGGGACGGCCACATAACAAATATAAAACCTACCCAAAAACAATGCATTGTCTCCATAGAGCTAAATTAATCTAGTAATTAATAATTGAAATATGTAATGTTCTATTTGGAGTTTTTACAAAATTAACATTTTAAGTAAAAATAATAAATAATTTAAATTTCTTATTATCAAACATATGGAAGAGAGAATTTGGCTGGCCAAGCCTCTAATTGAGGTCAAAATCTCTCATTTTAGTTCAAACCTCTCTTTATCAAACACAACCAATATATTTTGTTGATATGTTTCCTCTATTGTGTGAAGCCACCAAACAAACCTTCAATGCACTTCAATTAGTGGTCTCCACGATGCAAAACAAATTGTTGTAATAATAATATGCAAAATAATTTTGGTTTATTTTATTTCTATGTTTTTAGTGAAGGAGATTCATCCACAAAAGCTTCAATCTAGTTGTGGCCATGAGGTGATGCAGTTAATGAAAGCATCCTTGAGGCTTTAGCAGTTCATATATTTTAAAAAAATTGAATCGTCGGTTTGGCGCCGAAATTTTAATTTAAAGGTAGTATTTTTTTACCGTTTCAGTTAACCGACCTGTATATATACCCGAACTGATTACGATTCACATAAAAGTTGAACCTGAACCAACAATTCTGACTCGAAACCGATATTTTTCCACCTCTAGGTTTAATCATCCAAGACCTAAGTGTTTATTAGCTACTGCATTTCAAAGTTGTGCGAAAGATCGCTTTATTGTTGCGCTACATTTTCACGTTACCCTGAAAATATGAGCAGTATCGCGCTAGATGTAGGGCGACACTATTTGTCGCACTACATTATTTTTTCTATCAATTTTTATTTTTGTAAAATTTATTATTATTCTATATACTATTTTTACAAAGTTTACATTCCTAAAATTTTTTATTTTGTTAAAAGAATAAAATTTTAATTTTATTGTTGCATTTATAATATTTTTTGTACTAATATATTTCATGTAAACTAAAATGTAGCATGAACGACTGGAGATGGAAGTTAGATTTTAGCATTCTCTAGTGTGGAGTAGAGTAAAGTTTACATTAGAGTAAAACATATGATTTTAAATGGTCTAAATAAGTTAATTAGTGGATTTGACATGTTAAACCTATAAATGAGATTCAGTCCGCTAATTCTATACACCAATCTGCTGCAAATCAAAACATGATCATTCTTGGAAAAATCGAAAAGTTGCAAAATAAATATAAAAAGGTAAAGATTTTATTTTTAGGATGAAATGCATTTTTATCGATGAGTTTATAATAAATAAATATAGTAATTAAACTCTATTCAAAAATAAATTAACAAAATACTAAATAATAATTATACACAGAATTTTATGTAAAATATAGATATAGTTCTCTTATTCTAACATATATCAATTTTATTCATGAATTACATTAGTTACCTCATGTCGAGTAGAATTTATTAGTTACCTCACATCGAGTAGAACAAGTTGTGTTGGAATAAATAAATAAATAAATTGTCAAGTTGATCATGGAAACAAGATTTTACGGGCTGCCGACGACATTTTAGAATAGGCTAATTGCAAAAGTTGGTCCAGGTAATTTAAGACCCTTATTTTTTTTTTATTTTTTATTTTTCTAGTCAGCCACGGTATTTGAAGCGTTGCCCCGACTAATTCGTTGGTCGACTCGGGTCGCACACCTAACAATGGTGGGTGAGTCTTCCAACAAGGGTTTTCTGCATTCACAAGAATTCGAACTCAATACATTGCTTAAACGACATCAAGCTGTTTGCCACTTGGGTCAACCTATTTTGCTTAAGACCCTTATTTTAAAATATATGATGATACTCATAACTACACATTCACAGTCCATTCACAAGATAGTTCTAGAATTTCATTGAATTTAATATTTCTTTTTTTTTTCTAATTTTGACAAATAAAAAAAATGGGGATTGAGCACGATTCTCACGTGATTGAGTTTCAATGGGATTAAGACCAAATTGAAAACAATTATTTATCAAAGTGTATTGTATTACTGATCAGAAAGTTCTTTCATATTTTCTGAAAAAAAATGTAGGCAAAGTTATTATTGATATGTCCATTTCACTAAGTAAATGGGTTTTTTATTATTATTGGTTTTTATCTATGTGGATAACTAAAAATTATCACTAGTCAAAATATGTACATCTTGAGTAATGCTCTTCTACTTACGGTGGGCACATGTTAATATGCCCACCGTGGGTAGGGGAGCATTTTCCTGTACATCTTTGCCTAACAGTGAGTTCGGCGTGGGCGTCCTTCATGGTACCTTCGAAGGGGATTAGCTAGGTGGGATACCAGAGGTTGGTAAACTAGGCGGAATATCAAAGATTGATGAGCAAGGCGGATGTGATCGCCTAAGCAGCTTGGCGTTTAGGCACCTAGACAACTCGACTAGAGGGTTCTGTCGAGGGGACCAAATCCTGGAGGTGACTTTGTGATCAAGTCATTTCGGGGCCTCTTGACCTGATTGAGAGATAAACACCAGAAAGACTTCTTGTCCCAAGATTGTCTTCTACCTTACCTATAAAAGGATCACATGTTCACTCATTTTACACATCACACACATACGCATTATCTCGATACTATGTCGTTTGCTCTCCGAAATACTACAGACTCGAGCGCCAGAGTGTCCACGTCGGGACCACCACGACGTGTTTTGCAGGTACCGACGATCAAGGAGACGCAACCCGGTTGGATAGGAGCGATCGAGCGATTCGAGAATTTGTGACATAATAAATTGTATTTTTAATTAGTTAGAGACTATAATATTTTTTACTTGTAGGAGGTTGAAAATTATCATCTCAATTTTTTTGAAAAAATAAATCTAACTTAATATGTCAACTAACATTTGCTAATTACACTTGATGAAAGTAACCAAACAGGACAATATTTTTGGCAGATAACTACTTCATGCTAATAAAAATATAAACCGTAACATACA